AAGAGGTCTGTGCTTTACAGGAACAAGTTTATGCAGAACATCCGAGAACAAAGCTMACATTTAAAGAAGAGGAGGTGGTATAACACGTGTTTAATCCACTTCTCTATTTGTTGTTTTTTTATGATAAAATCAAACTTTCTATTGATTTTAATATGTTTACCTTTTCATTAAGGTCTACAATATAGGAGAATATTTTTTTGATTGGCATGATCTGCTAGAAATTAGATTATGGTGGAAAAATAAACCTGTGACAGGTAGTAAAGCCCAGAACGTTTATATTTGTCTCTATTTTAAATTRATACATGTAATCTCTGTATGGTTTAAGTGGCAACAATCAATTCTAAAAAGATTTTCACAGTTTATACAAAGAACATTTATCCTTTTACTTATTTCTGAGGAAGTTTTGCTCCTTGTTTCCTGTTTGCCTTCATTTTATGKGCTCTCCCAGCATTGTTTCCCTGTAGARTGGAGGGAGAGCTACAKGTTTGAAAACATCAACATGAAGTGTTTAAATGTGTYCTTCATCCGACAGAGACAAAGTGTTGGAGTCAAATCATTCAGACTGACAGCAAAGATGCAGTGGAGTCTGATTCTGCTCTTTCTGATGGGTAAGTTCCTGTAAAACACAAGAAAGTCCCTGTTTACACTTACAGGAGATGTTCATGTGGAGATCTGTTTCTCTGTTTTCAGCTCAGTGTTGTTTCATCTCATGTCAGCTCCATTGGTATCATTATGTTGGAAAGAGTAAAAACTGGACTGAAGCTCAGCAGTTCTGCAGAAAGTATCACTCTGACCTGGCCACAATGTCCAACATGACAGACATGAAGAGAATCCTCAACATATCAGAAGAGAATGAAGCTGAAGCTTGGATTGGTCTGACTAATTTAGCAGGTGTCAACAAGACCTGGTACTGGTCTCTGCCTGGAGTGGAGTTCAATGAAAGAGGGACAAAGTGGAGAACASGTGAACCAATTGATAAAGGGAAGACAGGAACTATTGAGAACTGTGGGATTATATGTACAGACCTCAAAGTGGGAGATCACACTTGTGGGCCTAAAAATAAGTTTTTTCTGTTATGATGGTGAGTATAAAGAAAACCCCCAAATCTAAACTTTGCAGGATTTTTTCTTTATTTGTTTTTGTACAACTCAGTTTACATGTTTTAACCTGACATTTTGAAAAGGACAAAAATCAGATTTTAATGGATATAAGATGAAAAATCTGCAACAATATTTTTTGTTTGTTGCTGTCACTGCTGGCTGCYAATTATACTGCAGGTTCAGCTATAACTTACTGTTATGAGTTTGTTTATTCTTGAAAAAAACTCATCACATAAATTCCATTATATTGAACAAAMGAAGAGCTGGCTGGAAGCTCRGAGTTACTGCAGAGAGAGACACACAGACCTGATCAGTGGACTGAACCAGACACAGGATGAACAACTGAAGACTGAACTCAGTTCTGTAGGAAGTGTTACACACATATATATGGGTCTATTCAGAGACACCTGGAGGTGGTCAGATGGAAACAGTTTCTCCTTCAGACACTGGAATCTACAGTTTAATARTAATAACCAGAACAMTGGTCAATGTGCTGCAACTGTGTTTAATGATGGAGGCAGATGGAAGAATCAGAACTGTAGTGAAGAAAAACCCTTCATCTGCTATGATGGTGAGTTTTATGTTGAAGATAAAACATAAAAAACACAGACCTTAATTTGGATTAGTGATGTTTTGAATCCTTTCTTTGGGCGTGGGTGTTCGAGTAAAGCACTGACTAAAGCTGTTGCTGTGATGCTTTTTGGTTTCAGTTCCTCTCATGTCAGATGATGTCATACATTCCAAGTCGAGCTGAACTGGGAGGAAATCCTCCAGTACTGCAGACCCCATGTGATGGTGATCTAGAGATCACCATGACCTGGTCACCAACGAGCAGAGATGGGTTCAGGAGGAAACCAAAAAAATCTGATGTAAACAACACAGAGTCACTCAAACTATACTCAGCTGTGCCTGTATTTGCTAAGTTGGCTGTATGGCAAGCTATTGTGCTATATAATCTAATCACACTTTCCACTTTCTCTGTCTTTMCTGTTTTTAAATGACAATAWTCACATTTGTTTTAGTCACAATACCATTAATACAAGTAAGCATGAAAATCAAATGATGTACGGCCTCATTTTTACAAGTACAAACTAAAATTTAAGTTCATTCTCACTATACTGGTGGAAAATTATGATTCCAAGATGAGTGAACAATTATTTGTCAGAGTGGACATATTTTCAGAACTCCTACTAGGGGAAAGTCACATTTTATATATCTACAGACTCAATGTTATTAGTCGTAAATGTTTTTTTTTTAATTGTTCAGTTTTGCTAGATTGTCCAGAAGGTTACTGTTCGCCTTCAGTTTCTTGGCTCTTGGTTTTACAACATTTCCACTGGAAATCCTTTTGTTGTTGTTGTTGTTGTTGTTTGTTGTGTGTGTGTGTGTGTGGGGGG